CCGGAGCAGGGAGCGGACAGATCGAAAATCAGCCTTTTATTTACGTGTGGCTATTCCGATGGGATTTGAACGGAACACTGAGAAGGGGGAGGAGCTAAAAGGACCGACTATATATCCTTTGAGAAGTTCTTTGTCGATGAGCTGGGAAACTATGTTGGGTTCTTTAGCGGCTGACTGTAAGTTTCTTGCTACGAAAGTCACTGTGGGAGATGGGAGGACCCCTACCCTGAAGCCTTGGGAGAGCCCTGACGGGAGATAGTCAACAAACACGGAATCTGTAGATAGCGCAGCTGCTAGCTGAGGGATGTTAATGGGAGTGGAGGGGTGATATTCCAGAATGTTTTTTTTGTTTTTGTTTTTTTGTTATTTATTTATTTGTTGATGTTTCTGGCGCAGAGCCACTGTGACGGCCCGTCCACACGGTGGCGTGGGTTACAGCTTCCAAACGCTTCTGCCCATTCACTTTGAATGGGGTGACGTCACTTTTAGTAGAACTGTATTTTGGGAAGCGACGTGGAGCGTTTGCTGGCGTTGCTCGCTTCAAAAAGTTGAGCAATGTTCAACTTTTGGCACCTCGGCAGAAGCGTCAGCCATGAAATCCCGTTTATGCAAATCTGCCGGTACAAGCGCTAGCCAATCAGACCGCGTGTATGTTGGGAGAGACTACGCAGGTAATTCCTCATATTCCAAAAATGTGAGGGAAAATTCATTATGGCGGTAGTGAATCACCCGGTGCTGTATGATCAGTCTCTGTTCATCTACCGGGATACAAACCAGAGGAGCGAGGCATGGAGGGAGGAGGCAGAGACAGTGGGTGAAACTGGTAGGTTTTCGCCTGTTGGGGATTTTTTTTATTTTTATTTTTTTTTCCAGTTTACTTAGTTTTAACATTGCTATTGCTTTGTGTGTCGGGGGCAAGAGATTCATGTGATTGGTTGTTGCTGCTGTGCGGACCAGTAGCGTAGGCAGAAATTTACTTTAGGGTGGGCCTGTAAAAATATAGGGTGGGCCAGATTTTTCTTCTGCGCATCGGAAACTAACCACGATCCCGCCGGTACCGGTGGCAGATTACTTTTAGAATACTTCCTTTCCTCTTCTTTTTCTTCCTCCCTCCTCTTCTTTTTATCTTTTCTTTTCTCCTTTTCCTCTTCTTTCTATCTTTTCCTCTTCTTTTTCTTCTTTCCTCTTCTTTTTTCTTTCTTCTTTCTCTTTAGAATACTTTCTTTTCCATAACAGATGGGTATGTTTTGGTGAACGGGAGACACGTATTTTACTGTTTTAATGGCTTATGAAGAGCACGAACACAACATTTTAGTGTCATTCTTGACAGCTCTCTCATCTGCACCGCACATAAAAAGAAAAACTCACCCAGACTGCATTCTTTGTACTGTCTTAAAACCTTTCCTTGGAAAAGTTTATGCATTGTAAGGTGTCCTTGGGTGCTTTGAAAGGCGCCCCTAAATAGAATACATTATCATTATTATTTATTATCTGAAACGATGTAATCACTTTTAAAACTTTTCCCAGTTACTTGCCCCATGCATTCGGCAGCAGCAGGCCATTCAGTTAGATTTGATCCCGTTATGAATGTCATCATTTCGACAATAAATAAATGCTACATAAACGTTATCTTCCACGTTTTATCTAAACATCTCCGTTTCTACCTTCCAATATGTTTTGAAAGAGAACTCTCTCTCTCTCTCATCTTGCGTGCGGGGCGGGGCCTCACGGACACGCTGCATCTCTCGCTCGCAGATACGCTGCAGCGCTGTGCACACGGTTCTGCCGGTAATGAATATTACATTGTGAGGAAACTTTCCACCAATAATTCCAATAAGTATTCACTTCAGGTTTACGAAAGTAACTGCACTCAGTTTACTCGTTTTTCAAATGTAACGCCAGCTGAATATACTGATTTTTTTTCTTTCTTTTTCTTCTGATTACGTAACACCGTTACATGTATTCCGTTACAACCCAACCCTGTGTAAGGGTCGAGTGCAAACGTTTTCGTTAAAACTAGTACCTGAGTGCAACGGAAGTTGAAGCTCCTGTGGCGGAGTCTTCCAGAGCCTGGAGGCGAGCATCGATAGCTATCATGGAGCTAGCCAGGGATTGCAGGGAGCCGGCCGCGCTACTCTCCATAGGGGTGTGTGACGCTCCCGGACTGGGGAGCCTGAGAAGGGGTGGATTTTTTGGAGGGGGACGGGATCCTGGAGGGCTCGACTTCCTGCCCTTTTTTACCTCCGCGGCTGCGTCCTCGTCCTGCTCTCTGGGAAGCTGGCTGGAGCTGCTGCCCCGGACTGGGGAGCTACGCTGGAGACCTGGTCCGAGAGCTATCGCCGCTGAGAGAGAGTGAGGCCTGGGGCTGTGGGAAAGCCCTGCTGCAGGAGCCGGGCGATGAGGAAGTCTTCCTCTGTTGATAAGCCGCTGTGGGGAGCCGAACCGGGATCGGAGACTTCCAGAGAAGGTTCGTGTTCCGAATTGTCCGAGTTGGACATCTTGAGCTAGTTGTTTCTTACGGTTTTTCTCACGAGAAGCAGTATTGTATTGCAACTACCATTGCGTGTGATCATCTGCAATGACAACTGACAGGGAGGAAGAGCAGGCATTTAAGGCATTTAGCATGTGCAGCGATTGGCTGCTGAGGGGTGACGCCCTCGTATTTAATGAGGGGGGAAGGGAGCCATAGAGTGACGTGTGAGTGACTCGAGTTAGGTCTTCCTTATTGAACTTGCGCTAAAGCTTTCATTTCACAATTTAAAAGGTCCAATTTGCAGCGCCATCACAACACAAAACACCCGAAGTTCAGTACCGACTTTCCGAAAGGTGGAGAGCTGAGGGCGGAAAAGCTGGCGAGACTCAAACAGAACCGAACTGCTCAAAAAAACGTATTCCACACTAATACGAGTGACAGAGCAACAGAGGCATCCTGCATCACACATGAACTGATGAAAAAGATGAAGCCATATACTGATGGAGAAATGGTGAAGGATTGCATACTGCTGGCTTGTTCAACGTTGTTTCCTGAGAAAAAAGACCTGGAACGAGAGGCAAACAAAATTCAACTGTCGGATTCTACTGTAGCTAGGAGGGCATCAGACATTTCAGAGAACATTGCACATACTCTTAAGGACAAAATGTCATCCGCTGAGTTTGTCAGCCTTGCAATGGACGAAAGCTTGGATATCAATGACACGCCACAATTATTCATCTTTATCCGAGCGATCAACAGTAAGTTTGACATTACAGAAGAACTGCTTGACATGGTTTCACTGCAAAATGGAACAACGGGCATTGAAATAAAAAACGCTGTGCTGGAAACATTAGAAAAGTTTAACATCGGACCAGAAAAAATCACAGCATTCACAACAGATGGCGCACCGGCGATGCTAGGAACGGAGCCGTGGCTTTGCTGAAAGAAACGCTGAAAAACGGCGGGGTTGCTGCTGAGGGTATTTTCTCATACCATTGTATTGTGCATCAACAAGCCTTGTTTGCTAAGTTCAAATGTCTGAATGAAGTGATGGCAAATGTAATCGAAGTGGTTAATTATATCAGGGCCGTGCAAGAAACCACTTACATTTTAAACTGCTGTGTGAGGAGTTTGACACTCACTATGGAGATTTGGTGTTACACACCGAGATCAGATGGCTGTCTAAAGGACGTATGCTTGCACATTTCATGGACCTGCTTGAACCCCTGAAATCCTTCATTGTCGGCCAAGGGGAGACTTCCCGATTTTCCTTTTTGGATGATAAAGAGTGGGTGCTGTCTGTTGCGTTCCTGTGTGACATTACGCAGCACTTGAACGAACTTAATCTCAAGATGCAGGGAAGAAACAAGACCGTGTATGAGCTCTACACGGCTGTCAGACTATTTTCTGACAAACTGGATGTACTCGAACAAAGTGTCCGTGGTTCTGATTACCGTTTCTTCCCCACCGTGCAGAAAGTGATGGCGATGCATGCAGACGCTCTCCTGCCCTGTCAATCACAATTATGTGACGTGCTAACTGAGCTCAAGCAAAACTACACATCAAGATTCCACGACTTCAAGGACCATAGCAATATTTTTCTACTTGTGAAAAACCCATTCCTGATTGAGGTCAATGAAATGAAGCAAATAAGCGACCAGCTCGGACTTGTGCAGCTTCAAATGGAGTTTGTGGAGTTAAAGAGCTCAGATGAACTTCAGCGTCAGTTTCGGATTACAGATGTCGTGGACTTTTGGAAACTGGTGGGGCATCTACCAAATATCTCCAGACTGGCAAGACGCATCATCTCAATGTTTCCGTCCACATACCGGTGTGAAGCAGCATTCTCTGCGCTCAAAAATAAAATGTCGCAACCGAAAGAGATTGAGTCTGCAGCACACAACAGAGGCCCTTTGGATCGCCGTTTCCAGCGCAGAGCCCGACTTCAAATCACTTGTGCGGCAGAAGGAGTGTTAGAAATCACATTGAGTGTGAGGTAAGTACAACATTACTCTTCTGACAACCCCTGCTGTCTATAATCTGCTGTTATATGGACTGTGATGATCAGTAAACATGCTGTCTGTTATCTGTTGTTATGGGCAGTGATGATCAGCAATGTGTGTTTTGTGGTTGCAGTGAAAATAATAAATCACAGTTATTGCACTGTACATTATGCTTTTCATTCCTTAGTAACATATTACTATTATCCATATTCTCAAATGCATAATGGTTTCAGGGAGGAAAGGAGCGTTTTTGGATTGTGGCTCTTGCAAAAATATTTTTTCGTCAATGTGGCTCCTGATTAGGACAAGGTTGAGTACCACTGGTCTATGGTGTGGACGGGCCGTAAGGGGATATCTTGATACTGCACTGTTCATTTTTTCCAACAATCTGAAACTCAAAGATGTTCACATGTATCACAGACAAAAGCAGAACATCCTCAAAGTGGAGATCCAGGAGGCAGACATAATACAGTATACAAATATGATTTACCCGAGTGACAACATGTGAAACTTTTTATCCTCAGATCGCAGAAGTCACAAACAAAGAAACAGAATGGAGGTGAGGAGGGGGGAGTGAAGAAGAGGAGGAAAAACGGAGGAGCCCAGATTCTCCCTGAGGTGTCCCGGGTCGACCTGGAGGAGGTGGGTGGTTTAGTGAAGGAAGGACAAAAGCATTTTTATATTTTGTTAAATTAATCAATAATTATATAATTGTTTTAAATATATTATTCATGTATCGCTTAAAGGTCACCTATTATGCAAATGAACTTTTGTATGTCTTTTATACATAAATATGTGTCCCCGGTGTGTAAGGAAACCCTCTCTCTTTTCCTCCTTACCTTATCTCTAAAAACGGAGGTACAACGGAGCTGATCCAGATTTGCTGCGTCATGACAACATCACTTAAATGTGTGCTTTACGCCCACAGCCCTATCAGAAACGTTGCTATCAGAAACAATGCACGACGTGTTATGAAGTAACATGGTCTGTGTTTACATTAGCAAGCATCGCTAACACTCGGAGCTAACGCTGTACTGGAGAGAGCATGTGTAAGAAGCCGGATATAAAAAGGGCTCCTTGTGGTAAACCGGCAAGAGAAAAAGCGTTTGAGCTCCATACTGTTTCAGAAATAATGCTTGATGTGGTTTTGAACAAGAAAGGGCGTTTCATTGCAGCATTTAGACAGTATCTGCCAGGTCCTGCATAAGCAGGCATACGGTCCGCCCCCTCTTTATTCTCTTTTTTTTCAATTGTTTACAAAAAAAGAAGCTTTACACCCCAGCACTTTAGTGACATGGTTGAAATATAGGGATGAGGCATGGCTAGAATGGGTGATCTGTTTGGTATTTTGAGCAAAACACTTCATAGACATGTTTTTTACATATCTGAGACCTATGCTATTGCCTAAAAATAGCATGATAGGTGTGGTGGCCAAAATCCAACAGTTTGTCTTATAACTCCATATTTCAAAGGTTATTTTTCGTGGCCACATGTAGAGCTTGGGGCTGGGAGGCAGTGTCAGACTCACAGTAGAAAATCCACTGGACGTTTTGGTTGCCCTTAAACGTTTTATTTCCAGAAAAAACAAAATCCAAAACAATATCCCCTTGCAATGTAAACTTAAAATGCAGATCCTAATAATATGTTTTTACTCAAAATAAGTCTGCGTGTCAATGACGGTTTTGCTGCTTCCTGCTGCCCCACACCGCACTCCGCCCTCACCTGAGCAAAGCGCACCTCTCACTGAAACAGAAAAATGTATTAATAAAGGTTCCAAATAAATCAAAGCAAAATAAGCTTAAATGCGGCTCCTACACACCGACCCATAATTGTTCTCTAGAATCAATTATTTAAATTAGCCAAAAATGGGACTAAGTGAGGGATGCAAGCTAAGCGACTTGGCATGCAGGGAGGGATTCACTCTGTTCTGTCCTCCTACATCCTTTCAGGCAGTGGTGCATCTCCAGCTCCACAATGGTGTCTCTGTCTGCTTCCTGTCAACCTGGAAGGACTTCTCAGATCACATCACCATGACAACCAAAGCTGTTGCAGAAGCCCCGTTCAAGTGAGTGCTTTTAGTTTCGCCTGTTTTAGTTTGACACGCGTTTTTTTATCAAAACTAATTTCTTTCTGTTCCTCTGTGTTTCCAGGCAAGAGAGGGAGAAGACAGGCTTCTCCTTCTATCTCGAGAGTGAGTGGGCGGGGGGGGCAGCGAGTGGATAAGGCTGGGAAGGGGCTGCTGCAGGTGTGGAGGAGACAGATCCAGCAGCTAAACAGAGTCAGTCCGGACATGGCCTCCGCCCTCCTGGCAGCGTATCCCTCCCCACAGCTGCTTCACAAGGTACACAGGACTACATAGCTTTTCTCTTAATATCAGCTCATCACTTCTATCTGGTAAAATCACAAAACTACCATAAAACCTTCCTCAATCAATGGATCAGTCTACAGAAGAAGTAAGAAATCTTACAGACTGTAGAGGTTATGGGATTTCGTTCATCCATTCTTTCTCTGTTCCTGCACTTTTTACATTTCCTGCATTTTCTTTTCTTTGTTTTGTTTTTATTTACTGATTGTCCTGCAAGGATCCTATTTTTATGAAGCAGCTTCTGATCTTACTCCAAATGTATATTTTATGAAATAAAGGCAACACTTCTAGGTCACATTTAAAGAAACACATCTGAACATATTGTACATTTTCTTTCTCGTTTATATTAAATAATTATCTGTCTCCTGCAGGCCTACAGTCGATGTCAGAGTGAGCGTGAGAGTGTTTCTCTGCTGTCTGAGCTGCTGATCCGCAGAGGAGAAGGCGTTACCTCCACGACCCGCCACGTCGGCCCCGAGCTGTCCAGACGCCTCTTCCTGCTTATGACCTCCTGTGACCCCGAGAACACCCTGGACTCCACTGTCTGACCTTTGCCTTACATTTGTATCAACATCGGACTTATCGCCCTCTCTGTTCACAAGATGGAGTTTCATACTATGCAGTTAGAATTCTGTTTTAATTACATTTCTGTTTTATTTTTCCATAAAGTTATTTTAATTAAAAAATCAAATTTCTCTTGTCAGATTCCGCTCATCTGACCGGTTCATGCCAAATGTACACTCGCCATGCGCGCTCTAGAGATGGTGGGAAACATAAATATACATAGCCTTCAGTTTAATAAATAATGATGATGAAGTAGAAAGTAAAGACAGGAGTCCCAAGGATAATTCTCTAGCTTCAGTCGGCTAGCTTACATGTGAGGCTGTGCTACGCTCTTGATATTGGGGGAAGAGAAGTAGCAAATGACAGGTTTGTTTGCGTTGTTACTTAGGAGATATTTAAAATACTTGGTTAAGTTAATAGATAGCAGTAGCTCCCTGTAAAAGCTACTGTAGCAAACGGCATAGGGATCTTCTTCCATATCTGCAGATAAAGGCATCCTTATCATGGCTATGTTCTTTAGAGCTTTCTTGAATCCACTCTCATTCATTCACTAAACTTGATATCGATGTTGTCCCTCAGCCACGGGTATACAAACTGCTTTGAAGCTAGTGGCCTTAAATATATACTGTGCAGTAAGAAAACATTGTTTATCCAGGGGTTATATATCTGTTCAAGTAATCATTTAAAAAAAGGTTTTGAAAGTTTGAAGCTTTGTTTTGGTTTCTTTTCACAATGAATGTTTAAAGTAATGTTTAGTTTTCCACCACATTGGCAAAAATGACCAAACCAGTGTGCTCTCTCTAGCTCGTGCTCTCTCTAGCTCATGCTCTCTCTAGCTCGTTCTCTCTCGCTCGCTCACAGAGGCTGTGTGCTCCTCCATGGCGATGACGGCTTGCGTTAAAAAATAATAATAAACATAGGCCTATTTGTAAAGTGGGGGGGACACAAACGGGATTTTGAAAAGTGTCACGGTTAAACTCCTTATGAAGTGGTGAGATGCCGCTCCACATTGCTTTTCTTCCCGACTGCAACGCTGTTGTGTGTGTGTGTGTGAGAGCATTTCACATGTGTGTATGACAGATTTTTACATAATCTATGTCTGTAAATGATTTTGGTTTCAGTTGTGTGTGTGTGAGCAGGCTCGGATTGGCCATCGGGAGATTCGGGACTTTGGTTGGTGGGCTGCTGCCTTCGGTAGGCCGTTGGCTCTGGCATAGGTGGGCCGTGGACTTTCACAGCGCCGCTGCGCCGGTACCGCATCTGCCGCCGTAAACACCCGCTGTTGCGAGGCTCCGGCGCAGCGGCGCTGTGAAAGTCCACCGCCGTTGCGAGTCTCCGACTGTAACAGTACACTACCGCCCGCGAGGACCAAGGTTCGATTCCGGCCTGAGGTCCAAAAAATGTATTTAAAAAATAAATAAATAACCCGTTCATCGCGTCCATTCGCGACCCACCTATCACATATCTGCGCCCCACCAGTGGGGAACGAATCAACATTCATTTGAATTTTTGTTGAATAATGTTATTTTTGTTGAATAATGTTATTTGATGAAAAAAATATTAAGAGTACATACTTTCATAGGGGGAAAGTAGAAGGTCAATGATATAAATATAGAATATAAAAAATCAAGAAGATACTGTAAGTGATCTCTACAATAAAACAGTTTAGTGCAGGATGTACAAAGATATTAATAGGAGGAGGTGCAAAACAGACAAACTAATTAACCTTTATTAACACATTAAAGAATACTTTAGGTTAAGGTCTTCTTTCAAATAAGAAAAAAGCTTTGGGGGTATCTATCTACAGATAAATATTAAGCCTGACAAAGAACTTAACGTCTAATGTATTGCTTTCCTGCAATGTTAACTATGTTGAAGCACTTATTTTAACTGATATTATACACATTAATTATACTCTCATGTATGTAGATAGTATAATAAATGTGCAGAATATGACAGTTTAATGGTGGAGGTACACACACATATTGATAGATGTCTTGTAATGCACTGTTGAGGAACCTGTGACCCAAGTTGTTCATTCATTGCATAACTACACCGTAGTTGTGTGTATGATATGTCAATAAACCTTTGAAAATCTTGAAATCTTCAAAGGGATGTGCAAAATAGCAATTACATACAGTTTTTTTTAATTAACTATTAGTAGAGAATAACGAGTAATGAATATACTATATAGAGATCTGCAGATATATGTTTAGTCTTCTCAAGCACCAACTATCAAATATCTCTCCTGATTGTTGGCACTTGACAATCACCTTCACTGAATTTTACTCAGGTGTAACTAAAGTCTGATTTAAGGGTTGTTTATATTTCACATCATTAATCAGAATCTGCAAAGTAACTCAAATAAATGTAGTGGAGTAAAAATACCAGGTTAACCTCTGATTTGTAGTGGAGAATTACAAAGTAACAATGAGCTGTAATGTGGGAATATATTCATGCTGCCCATTATCAGGGCCGCCCCTGGCCAACTTGGGGCCCCAAGCGACATTGTGAGATGAGCCCCCCCCCCCCCCCCAACCGACAGGAGTGAAACACATTTTTTTGGAAACAAAGTAGGCTACTTATATAAATATAATTCCTGTTTATTATTAGTATCAACACAGTTACTTTTGTATACAGTGAGGTAAATGGTAAATGTGCATGTACGTCTGCATTTCCTGCCAAATACTAGCCTCAAAAAGATTACAATATAATGAATGCAAATAAACTACTTCTACTAATAATAATAATCATAATCAATTCAATAATATAAATACTATATTATTTTATTATAATTTAGTTGTAATATAGTCAAGACAAAACATGCTTATGACATGCTCAAAAACTGATATTTCTTAAATCTGTATTCTAGTTCCCTCTGTCAGCAATGTATCAACAACTACACACACATTTATATCAGTATTTCTCTGTGTTGTGGTTGATATGATGATGACTGTTAGGAGTTAAGGGGAGAGGCTGAGCATCACCATGAAATGTGCAAATTGACATAAAAATGAATAAAAGGGGAAACAATGCTCCATGTTTTTCAGGCTGTAAACTGTAACTGTTATGTAAGCCAACTAGACAGACAGTGTATCACTCTTCCTCCTGTACATTAGCAGATAAAAGGCATCACATACTTGAATGAATGGTAAATAAAGAATGCTGGAAATAACTGCATCTCCATTAGCCTGTATGCTCTGCAGAGACTGCCTTCTTCATGTCGTGAATTGCAGCTGATGTTTTAAGATGGCAATTGGCAATTTGACTTATACAACATTCGCAAGTTGTACATTTGACTCATACAATAACCCACCTTCGAGTGATGCTCTAGTTTCTTCATGTTTTGTTTTTATCCCCTCTTCCTTGTGCCGGACTGAAACTGTCTTTTCACCGACATCTCTTCACCTGCACTAGTGGCCGTATCAAAGCCGTGATTGGTCAGATGTCAATTCATCGCAACGGTGTCGGGTTACAGACGTGCTCCCCTTCTCACCTCTCACTCTCTCTCGCTGTGCGCGGAGAACTGAGCGGAGAACTGCGCACAGCAGCTGAGGCCCTCTGGGCGGGGCCCCCTGCGCAAGGCGGGGCCCCATGCAGCCTGCGTGATTGGCCTGTAGGGAGGGGCGGCCCTGCCCATTATGGATACAAGCGATTTTCACCCATTTAGTAATTACATGTTTTAAATGTGTACACACCAATGTGTTTCCTATCACCTAAACCTCCAGTGCTGTACACAGTTTGATACTGTCAACTTCTAATTTTGGGAAAAACGAAAACGTCTTTTAAAACTACAATTCCCAGTAGAGACGTGCCATAGACTCTAGAGAACATGTTGCGAAACACAATAGCCAGCATGTGTAGTTCTGGGGGGCGTTCGAGTCCAGTTTTGAATAGTCTGCCGTGGTTTCGTTCCATTTCAAAGAGCTTGACGCTCGGCGTAACCTTGGCGCACTGCCACTCCAACATCCAATCCCAGAGCTTGAAGATTAATCACAGGGTTTGTCAACGGGACTGTAGTCCCAAACGATAGCTGGGGATTATGGGTAGTGTAGTGTCTTCGGCCATCCTAAACTGAATTTTTTTTCGGATATCATATCGCATTAACAAGACCACATCTGGCTTCACAGAGATCTTCTGTTACTGTCCTTTCTTCTTAGAGGAAGTACAGAAACACGTAACTCTGGATTTGTTTTAATGTTTGAGGTGCAATAAAGGACACAGCAGCTTTTTGTCATGTTAAAACTATTATTTTCTGCCTCGCTCATGAGAGTAACAGCTGGCGAAATTACAGCCTCGCCTACTGATTTTAATGTAACCATATATCGAGCCCGATTCTCGATTTCAAATGTGTGCTCTAAAATGATATTTATAAATGACTATTATAATTATTATAAGCAAGACAATAAATGGCAAAGATATGTAGAAAATAAACGTATTTAAGATACGTTCATAACGAACGTAACGTGGGAGAAAATATGTTTCTAGCTAAACGTAATTGAGAATGCAGTTTAGTTCTGTGGGAACGTAATTTTTAGGAGACAGGGTTGCTGCAACCACCTGACCTGCACTTCATCCCCTCATTAGTTCTGCTTTTACTAGTTCCTGTATTTTGTTAAGCCTCGTGTTTTTTAACACACAGTTCTGTTCTGTTATGACTTGCCTTGTACGGACCAAGCCTTTTAATTACAGTAGTTTCAGTTTAAAGTATCGTCCTTCTTCATTTCACCTTGAACAATTTGGGTGACCTGTGATGGGGTAAGGGCACATGTGGATGGAATGTTTGCTAGAGGGCACTGACAGGTTTGACATTTGTTTTTCTCTGTTATAAGATAGTGTAAAGCTTGGTTAAAGTTAGGTTATGATTTTGATCGTGTATTAAAAAAAGAAAATAAATAGTACAAACTGTTCTGAACTGTTTTATATAACTCCATTGCATGTAACAATTTAACTAATTATATACAGTACAGAATGGTCAATACACTCTAAAACCCAGCAATGAAAAAACTGAAACATTGACCTTACTTTCTTAGGTTAGTTGAAAGCAATAATATTAAGTTGAACTTATTTAAATGTAATATTATTGCTTTCAACTAACCCAATACAGTTGTGTGAAATCTGTTGACATAATACATTTAATTAAAGTCAATGTTTCAGCTTTTCAGTGAGCTATAACCCCACCTCTCCCATGATGCCTTACTGTGGCGTTGCCAGGCACGCTGTGGCTGCTGGGCTCCGGGCCGCTCTGCCCCTCGTGGCTCTGCGAGGACTGGTACATGTTGAGGGGGTGGTCCCTGACGGAGACCTGCACCCCAGGGTAGTCCTGCAGGGCCGCCGGGTGCTGGTGCGGGTGGGAGTATGGATGGGGGTGTGAAGCTGTGAACTCTGGGATGCTGTTCTGGGGAGGGGGGGCAAATTGGGCTGATGGGTAAGCCTGGGCCATGGATGGGTCTGGGGGTGCCGGTGTGTCCTGGTTACCCTGTGGACAAAGAGATTCACCATTTAGAGGAACATTTCCACATTCCATTCGAGGAGACTTTTATCACTTCCTGGTTTTTTCAGTAGTTCAATTAATGTCATGTGTTATGGCAATTTAGTTGCAGGCGTCTATGAATGGCACTGTGGGGAAGTTGGACACTATAGTCCAGACTAAGACATCACCAAGACATTTGGTCAATTAACATTATTTCCAGACATTTGTGATCTTG